TATAGTAGAATTCGAAATTGCCTCGGTACAAATTTCGCTGTAAGCTAGATATTCTGTCTATAATAACCAATCAACATAATACTTTATCGTAGAACATTACGAACCTTCGTTCTGATAGCTCGGCATCCTCAGATGTCCAAGATATGTTTGATCCTAGCTGGGAACGCACCCCTACGTACGTCTCTAGACCTCTAACACCCATTTTGCCAATCTAGATTGCCTTAACAATGCTATATTTGGTTGACCGCGTATTCCTACCGATAGTACGCCGCTACACAAGTTGCACAAGTCGTTTGGACGTACAGTATCAAATACGGTACATTAAAGCGCCGATAGAATGAGGAAAAAAAAGCCCCGAAAAACGCCGGCGTTGTATACTAAAAAAGTATTAATTTATGATTAAGAGGTACACGTGGACATAGATACTTCGATAATAGATAACAAATTAGATCGCTTCTATCATAGCGTATGCTTCTATATGCTTTATACATACGGTTGTGATATTCTCTGTTTTAAACAACAAGGTGGACACATATAATCTTTGTATGTGAATGCTATCAATTAAAGCTACCATCCTTAAAATAAGCTCACAAGCAGATCATCACCTCTGTACATAAACCAATTACATAGTCATAGGGCACTATGGGTAAAGTGAAACGAAGCCAGAATAAGCCCATGGCCAAGGCCCAGGCAGCTAACGAACTCACAGAAATAAAACGGCTCGATAAACTGTGCGAAACTGTCGGATTGGAGGAGAATGAAGGTACAGAGTCTGCCATAACAACGAAGTTCAGTTCATTGCCGATTAGCAATCAGACTAAAATGGGATTGAAAGAAGCTGGGTATTTAGATATGACGAATATTCAGTACAAGGCTATACCAGCGGCACTTAGAGGCAAGGATGTACTAGTGGCTGCAAGAACGGGTAGTGGGAAGACACTGGCTTTCGTACTACCTATAATCGAGACCTTATACCGACAGAAATGGTCCGATCTATTTGGTCTAGGTGCACTAGTTATATCCCCTACAAGAGAATTGGCATACCAGACATTTGAGGTACTGAGGAAAGTTGGTAAAAAGCACACACTATCGGCTGGGTTAGTTATCGGGGGAAAGGATGTGGAGGCGGAACAGGGCACTATCTCCAGAATGAATATTCTGGTTTGTACGCCCGGACGTTTGTTGCAACACATGGATGAGACACCAGGTTCGTACTGTGTGTTGTTGTGTTATTATATGGGATATCATTGCCATTTGATGTACATGCGCAGATGTCCAAGTATATGATTGTATGTTTTGCCACACATATACAATTAGATGGAATCGATCCTTCATATTTATCGAATTCTGAACGAAGACATGCGTGTAAGTACTATATATATATATATATATATATGCATACATACATACGTACATATATATATATATATATACATATATACATACAAACATACATGCATGCATGCATGCATTCATGCATACGTACATACATACATACACACACACACACACACACACATACATACACGCATACATACATACAT